CTACCCTGTGGGGTTGTGCCAGGGTTAGACCTGTATTAATTCTCTTACTGTATCTAACATCCTGTGGGATATGCTTCTACCCCCAGAATTTTTAAGATTCAACTGGGACAGCAAACTCGGTATTCCTGTGGTTTGTTTCCATCTTCAGTATTTGCAGCTGAATATTTACCAAACAAACACCTTCCTTGTTTCCTTGAATTTTAACTATATTTTCTGAGATTCTAACCAGATGGTTTAAAGGCGAAAAAGTAATGTCTAATTCATATGAGACTATAACAGGTGTGCTGAGCAATTAGTCAGATTTAAGATACTAGTAACTGTTTCATCAGAATTCCTCCTGCCTGAGATATACCAGGAAGTAGTATAAGAATTTGCACCTTGCACATGTCTAGACTGTGGAGTTGGCTGACTATCACCACTGATATCTTGGCTAGGCCGCAGACACCCAGTGCTTGGAGATAAACTTTGCTGATAACATACTTTGGTTCCTTATACATTAATGCTGGTTATATTTGTCATCTTTATGAAGATATGAAAGAAAGAACAAAATGGGTTTTATAGAGTTGGTAATGGATAATAGTGAACTAATTGATAAATGAATGGTCTTATTGGGTGGATTTGAAGAAGAGACCAAAAACTAATAATGAGAAACACCTAGTTATGGTTGGGTATTATTTGTTCATTCTAAGTTTGTAGATTGTCCAATTAAGCTAAACTCTAGGTTGCACCTATCTGAACATGATTCACTTATCTGTGATGTCCTCACATTATATATATATAAATATTATATGCTGTACTATATATATATATATATATATATATATATATATATATATATATATATATATATATATATATATATATATATATATATATATATATATATATATATATTTTCTAGAAAACAGTGCTTGGACACTTTTTTGATAGGGTGATGTGATTTTTTATGTCTGATATTTGTTTTTCTACCTTTGTTATTTTAACAATTTATCAAGGTGTATACTGTGATATACTGTGGCTATGTGGCAGGATGAAATGGTGGTTTGAAATAACTGTTATCATAATGTTTTAATTCTCATGTCAGCTATAATCTGGTGAGAGGTGACCAGTTCAGGAGACAGCATACTTTAGAGGTGGGGTTTGCTCCCCTGCTTGTCTGTGTCAAGACAAGCCCTCTACTACTAGATCCACCTGGTGGACAGAAGCTCCAGAGTGTGCTCTTGCAGTTTACTTTATTATATTATAACCATAGCCTTAAAGCTTTTGCCAGTTTCTTGGTGCATGCGTGTAGTATAGTTATGACTGACACTTTTCAATGGAGAAATATTATCAGTCTTTCAGCTACATGTAGTAATTAGTCATTAATGGTTTAGATGTTACCACCAGATATCAGCTACCTGAATTTTCTGCTCCATTGACTTTTATCACTATTTTTTAATTTGATATGCCTGCATTTACATTTGTTCTGTTCTGTGACATTTCTTGTAGTAAATGTTGAATATATAATAATGGATTAAATCATGGTAAAAACCTCTTTATATTGAAATATTAATTTCATTTTTTCATGATCCAGTCATAATCGTTGAGATAATTGTGTATTAATAAGATATGTGCCCAGAAAAGCCATGCATAAATATCCTATAATTTCTGTGAAATTTCTGTGCTAAATAAAGAGAATACATACATTTTTAATATATATATATATATATATATATATATATATATATATATATATATATATATATATATAATCTATGGAAGAGACATTTGAAAATGGATTGTAGAAAAAAGCCAAAAAAAAAAAAATATGGTAATTTTAATCATTGATGCTATAGTGTCTTTTGCTGATATCTGTTCACCATGGTTAAAATAATTATATGTCTGTTTGTTGTTTGTCAGCTAGGGCAGTGCGCTATGTGAGCAGCCAGTACTTCCTGACAGTTTTATTATCAAATTACAAATATTGCAGGTAATAACCTCCAAACAAGGAAGCTAATGAGGTCTTTAAGTTAAAGGTCACATGACAGTCATGTGACATCAATAGGATAGGTTAGTCCTGCTCAGCTGGCTGTATAATGCACATGGTTTACATGCCTGGCAAGAACTTAGGTCATATTTCTTCATTATGTATGCATGTGATATGCTGTAGTATGTTTCCAGTCCCTGCAAGGCTAGTCCATCACAACCTTATTAATAACATGCCAGCTCCTTGATCACAGATAAGAATACCAAATAGGTGTTGATTACACTGAATTGCTGGGTGGCAAAATTCATTTTTACATGGTAAAAGGTGTCATAGGACATGTTGTTATACATATTTTAGGTGTTTAGTTCCTTTGTATATTAAGTCTTTGTGATATTTTATGGTGGATGCGGGTGTGTTTGGTAATGTAGGGTATTTGTGGAAGAAAGGCATCATAAGGTGGATTAGTAGAAATGCTATAATACCTACATTTTATCATTTTACTGAGTGTGCTATATAAATGCTGCTATATATGTGATTAAACAGCAGTGACTAGAGTGCCTGCAGGAAGTCTTGAAGTCAGCCTTGTAATAAACACTGTTGTGATGGTTTGATGACAAGTAATATATAGTATTCTATCAGTTCTGTATGTGTGAAGGGTCTTCTCTATGATACTCTTCATTTGATGGCAGATGGGGCTTGCTGATAAACGTGACAAAATGACCAGTTTTATTGATTCCAGCTCATTTTATTATCCAGTGCACAGGGCCAATACTGCTGTGGTTATAGTGCCCTGAAGCTGGATACATCAGTTTCTTCACCACATGATAGATTCTAATATTAACACACAACTTAAGATATCTTAGCACATAAACAAAAAGTGCAGGAGCATTTTATCAGCTTACATATCTCAATGATTTGAAAATAATATATCCAATTCATTTTCTATATAATATATATATGAATTTTGAACTTCATATCATCCCACATAGACTCCATTAGCATTCTGTGCCATGATGACCCTGTGTGAGTGGAGCACAGTTTGGGTAGATTTTGTAATGTTGCAAACATTGAATTTGAGGGCTGCAACCTTCAAAAAGCAAGAATATGTAGCCATGAAGATATGTAACTCCTATGCATGTTTATAATCTTTGACAAACTACCAAGTTCCTCTTGTCTTGGATGCACTATCTTTTGACCTGGGCTTGGAATAACCAATCAGATACTTGTATACGACATCCAGGAAATTCAAAAGTAATGATGCTGCAGTGTTGCTTTGAAGTGGACTTTGATTGATAAAGGATATCAAGAACATATTTATGTCAGCTTTTCAGAAAAGATCAGAGGGCTTGATGATGATGAGATCCCAGCATAGTTAATGCTGTAGAAAGGATAAACTTGTACCAGTCTATAACTGATACATTAGAAGGACTACAGATGTCATCTGGCCTAGGCTCTACAGTCCAGGTTATATTGTAGCCAACTGACAAACCTAAATTGGTCTAGATTACTGAGCCTATAAGGCCCTTTTTACATAAAGTGGGATACTTCAGGGATACTTCAGGGATACACCTGAACCACGGCACTTTGAATGATTGACAACTTACACCCCATTTCCATAGATTTTTAGATCGATCTATCCCTGTGGGGAGTCTCACTAGCTTACCGTCAGCTTGGTCGGCTTAAGCGTCTGTCCTGCCTACTAAAAGCTGTAAGGGGGTAATTAACTATGGTGCCCGCTCGGCTGAGTGCAATTTAGCGTGAACCCCCAGGGAGTTAGGTCGATCTAAATCTTAATCTTTAGATCGATCTAAATCTCTGGGAAAGCACCCTTAGAGTTTCCAAGCTTTGGCCCCATTCAGAACAGCAGACTAACTAGTCCACAGGTCAGATATGGCTGACCCACCTTAATACTTCCCCATGGAGAATCAGTTCAGTGTCTGTTAGCAGATTAGACTGTATGTGTTTTAGTCCATCACCATATTTGGCTGCAAACTAGTTAGTCCACTGTTTTGAATGCAGCCAATGGCATAGGAGAGTCTCCTGAATGTAGGCTCTGCACTCAACATGGACAACTCTTAAATTAATGTCAGGAAAGCTGTTTTAAACCCATGCACCATAATCATATGTGAGGATGTCCCGGAGAGAACCTGGACAGCTGGATCACTCAGCTCGTACAGGAAAAAGGGCTAGGTCTAAGGGACCATTCAGAATGAGAAGAGCCAAGTGCTAGCTAGGCCGCGACCTAAATATGGCAGACCTACATGAAAGGAAGACTACTTATTCCTGTAATGGTCTCTCAACTTCTCACATGCCTCCCCATGCGTCTTCCCTGCAGGGACACAGTAATTAAATCTCGGCTCAATTCAACTGTTCAAGGGACTATACGTGGGGAGGTGTGGAATAGGCAGAGAGAACATTACAGGATTAAGCGGTCTTCCTTTCATGTAGGTCCGCCATATTTAGGTCGTGGCCTAGCTAGCACTCGGCTTTTCTCATTCTGAATGGTCCCTAAGAGCATTCTTGAAATAGGCAATACTTCATAGCCTATAATACTTTTGATTATCTGGTAACCTAAAACTGAATTCACATTTCTTTAGTTACAAATTAAGTGAGCATTTTATTTAGATTATTTTTTAAAAATAAATACTGGTGTGAAATTTGGTCAGTCTTTTAATACGTTCATGCTGTTCTTTCATTATCATGTCAAGGGACATCTTTAAAAGTCTACATGGTATTTCTGAAACTTACAAGTCTTATTAAACTTGGCTTTATGTTGTATGAATCCCATTTCAGTTTGCAGGAAGCTTGTAGTTCAGAAAAAAAAAAAGATAACCAGACACAGTCAAAATTTTAAACATATTTTATAGAACAAATTGTAATACAATATTTCAAGACCTTGGTATGTTCTTAATAATAATAATATTCAGAAACCATATAAAGTTTTCAGATGGTCCCGTATGAATATGAATATTTTGCTATTGTGAGTATTGCATGTGAATAGCATTAACATCACTGTAAGATCACTGCCTGGGTTGATGTGGTTGAATAAAACAGATGATTACTTCCATGATTTTTCCTACACAAATTTTTAACAGCATGGGAAATAAACATCTTTATAGTTAATATAGTGATTCATGTGTTTCTTTGTTAAGATAAGTCAGTTAGGTTAAACTTAATTATAATTACAGTTAGGAGACGGTGGGACCACATTGAATGTGGTGTTTTGTCTGTTTGTTGGACTGGGAAAGGAGCTGATAAACTGTTGTTTAAACTTTGCATTTCTCATTACCAGTGAATGACTAAGGTTGCACTATCAGAACAGTACTGCCTCTGCTGCTTGGGTGCCTTCCTTCATTAATATATAGATCCAATAATCCCAAGTTTTGTTTACCAGACTGCATGGAAACTTACCATATATCCCCAAGCCAGACTGGGCATCATATAGACAGTGTAGTTCATTATTGCCACTTCATATGATCCAAGCTTCTCTCTCAGTATCAATGTAATTAAGATCTACAGGAAATCAAGAAATAGGCATAAGGTTTCTGAGTAACTTGAGGGTCAGCTTGTAGAGACAGTAAAAGGATCACAGGAACACAGCCCACTCACAGGGTAGTAGAGGGAGGATCACAGGAATACAGCCCACTCACAGGGTAGTAGAGGGAGGATCACAGGAATACAGCCCACTCACAGGGTAGTAGAGGGAGGATCACAGGAATACAGCCCACTCACAGGGTAGTAGAGGGAGGATCACAGGAATACAGCCCACTCACAGGGTAGTAGAGGGAGGATCACAGGAATACAGCCCACTCACAGGGTAGTAGAGGGAGGATCACAGGAATACAGCCCACTCACAGGGTAGTAGAGGGAGGATCACAGGAATACAGCCCACTCACAGGGTAGTAGAGGGAGGATCACAGGAATACAGCCCACTCACAGGGTAGTAGAGGGAGGATCACAGGAATACAGCCCACTCACAGGGTAGTAGAGGGAGGATCACAGGAATACAGCCCACTCACAGGGTAGTAGAGGGAGGATCACAGGAATACAGCCCACTCACAGGGTAGTAGAGGGAGGATCACAGGAATACAGCCCACTCACAGGGTAGTAGAGGGAGGATCACAGGAATACAGCCCACTCACAGGGTAGTAGAGAGAGGATCACAGGAATACAGCCCACTCACAGGGTAGTAGAGGGAGGATCACAGGAATACAGCCCACTCAAAGGGTAGTAGAGGGAGGATCACAGGAATACAGGTCACTCACAGGGTAGTAGAGGGAGGATCACAGGAATACAGCCCACTCACAGGGTAGTAGAGGGATATCGTTAATTTACTATCAATATCTTTGCTGGGGATTCCCAGTGGGTTGAAGATCTATATGTACAAAGCTTGCCACCAGAACCTGCCTTGAATAGTTGGAAAATAATATGACAGCAGGAGACATGTTAAGAAAAAGAGAAAAAACCTAATCCTTTTGTCATGACTGGTGTATATGTCTTTGTAGAGGAGTGATGTTGACAGACAGTGATTTCACTGGTAGCCAGGTTTGTTGAGTTTATATTTCCAATGAGGTTAGACAACTGGCAATATAACATTTGGCAGGAATCAGTGGGGATTGAAAACTGGCCTTTCATAACTGGAAGCTGTGATTTGATTTGGTATATCTTGCAGAGCTTGACATTATGTTGTAGATGTCTCCACGTTATCAGGGTGCAAAATAAAGATGAGACCAGATATTATGTTAGAACCATCAGCAGCAGCTTGTAAACCAAATAAATCAACATTTTGAGGAAGGAGGAAAAATTTGAAAAATAATTACTCTTCTCCTCTTGGGGATTATTATCGCCATAGTTTTCGCAGCACTGGTGGCTTACTCCTGGCAGAGACTACAAGTGGAGTGTACATAATACTGTGGAGGAGCCAATCAACTGAAGTAATAGGTGATATATGGGGAATATTGCCTCCATTGATTGACTGGAGAATAGTGTTGTCTGTAAGGATTGCTGCTACAGTACAGATGTCCCAGAGGCTGGGATAAAGAGTGGCTTGGTTTTGTGTTTTTGACTGGCAACCATGAGATAAGGCATAGACTTCAGGCTTTGGTTTAGACAGCACACAGGCTAGCTCACCAGTACTGTTAAGACAGCTAATCTTCTAGGTGTCAGTCTAGACCAGTGGACTTACATCTGATATGTACAGACTGGAAGTGTGGTTAAGTTGACCAATATCTGGAAAAAACTGTTAAGATAGAACCACGACTTATGTGAATGACTTGGTGAAGATGGAACCACGTGCACGCACAGCTTATTTGAATGACTTAGAAAGGTTCGAATCACATGCATGCACAGGTTATTTAATGACATGGTGAGGATTGAACCACAGTTTATTTCAATGACTTTTTAAGGATAGATAGCCACAGCTCATTTCATGACTTGGTGATGAACTTGCTGCACCCAGCCTTCATGTCTGCAGGGATGTCACCCACCTTCTGTGGAGAAATTGAGATTTAGCCAGCAGGTCTTCATGTGGACAAGAGGTTATTAAGTGACATTCCCAGTTCTGATTTGTACAACAATTAAATTAAGCTAATAGAGTCTGTGTTTTCTATACTATTTGGACTAGAGCTCATTACTGCTTTTCCTGTTGCTGACAATATATATTTATGAGCAGTTACTCTCACTTCTACATGGAACTGGCATTATAGATACATTTGTCCCCATAGTCTTCAACCTCAGGCTTCTAATATTGATATAGATTTTGCTGCTGTGTAGGTATTTGAATATGAAAGACCAGTATTTTGGATTACTTTACAACTTGGATGCTGGCGTGTGTTGTTTATACATATATGCATATCTACATACATGCCATTTTCATCAGCCAACTGCCAGTTTGGATGTTTGTCAAACCACAATCTAGGTACAGGTTGTTTAAGCTCTAAAATGGCTGTTCTCTTCGCAAACGTACTGTGCACACATGAGGTTTGTTCTTATAGGGTGAGAAATCAATTTTAGCTGACAATAACTGAAGATTCCTCACAATTGGTGTGAAATGAACCAGACGGTGGCCAATGATTCTGGATGTTGAATGAAGTGTAACTTACAACATTAAGGAAGTAATTAGGGGGATGGACTGCTGTTTTAATTAAAGTGCATCTGACATCTCTTCCTAAACCTCTGGCAGTGCTAATTTGCTAGTGAAGAAGCCACTTAGTTGGATGACTTGACTTCCCCCAGGGACAGTGAGAGCTGTGCTCTAGTCCAGGAGTAGAAGGACATACTGAATGCATGGGAATAGAGAACCAAGGGATTGGCACAAATATTTATTACAAGTTTGAGTTAATTTCCAAATCAAGAGGAAGCCTCATTTCTTATGGATTTTGGTGAATGTCCAATGAAGAATCTTCATAGGAAAAGTATAAACAGAGTTACTTTGGTCCAGCTGCTTTGGTAACAAAAAGTTTGCCAATACCAGAATAAAAACTTGGCCGACAGTTCATGGAATAAGAAATCGTGAAATATATCAAGAAAATCTCATTTTGTAACTGAGCATAGTATATGAGGACAAAGATTGGAAGAGCATATCTCAAAGATTACATTTGATTTGTCTACACACTGTGAATAAGTGTACCTATGTTCACTGACATATTGTTCAGTAGTGCACCTCCTATAACATATTGCTTCCCAGAAGAAATCACTTCAGTGTAATTAGTCAGTCAAGCCACCCTCTCAGTAATGGCAGAGTCCCCAGCAGGCTCTCCTGTACCTCCTAAGAGACCATTACGGAGGAGATCAGCAGGTAATGGCAGGTTTCTCTTGCACTGGGGGAGGGGAGGGGGGGGGGAGTTCTGGCATTCAAAGAGAGAATGATTTCTAATATGATAATATATTAATGGTGGAAACTGATAACAATACCATGCTGGCCTCTGTGATATATATATATATATATATATATATATATATATATATATATATATATATATATATATATATATATATATATAATGTGGTTACTTTGAGCTCCATGGACTTATGCCAGTCATTGTAAGTGCTACAAATGTTTTTACACTTGGCATTTTTAAACAACCAGGTGTTTGTTCATAATTTACTGCCACACTTGTTAATTACCCTGTCACCATTTTTTTCAATACCTCCAGTGTATTTACCTGTAGGTGGACCAGAGCTGACAGAAACAAGAGAAAGGACAATGTATCAGGGTACCCTGATATGATATCTAAATACATGGTGTAGCACCTGTCTCAGTTATTACAAAGTTAAAACAGTTTACTAAATAAAACCTGTGTCAGATCAAGAAGTCGAGGTGTTTACCCTGTTTTACCAATTATAAAATTGATTTATAGGCATGTAAAGTTAATTTGTCTGAAAACTCTAGCTAATAAGTTGAACTGGAAATTGGTTTACCCCACACATTATACGTGTTTGGAAATTGATCTGCTCTTACATTGTTTTTTATTGACTGTGGTCTCTAAACTACTGTAAACATACTTAAATGCTGGCACGTCTATTAATTAGACCTAAGTTATGCTATTAGATATACCCTGTAGTGCAGAAAAACATCTTATATTAGATACTGTGCTAGAGTAATGGTTTTATTTGGTATGGATCTAAGTTTTTCTTTCAGAAGTGTAATTTTTTGTTTGTCCCATCTTTTTTATTCAGGTTTTAACACTAAACGAAACAGGTAGTAAGATTATTTTGCACATATTTTTCATGTTTAAACCAGCTTGTACTTGAACAGTAGACTGTGACTTTTCTTAATTCTAATTAGTGTTCTTTGTTCTCTTTCCAGTATCAGCAGAGAGGTATGACCCAGAGGCAGATGAAGATGAAGGGGACCAAAGGGTAAGACACTGTCCTCACACAATCAGAATCATTCTTAGACCAGTATAGGTGGCAAAAGAGGGAAAGATTTCTGTAGTTCTTGCTAAAAGTAGATATCTGAAGTCAGAAGTTTAGTCTACATTTTATGTTTATGTTATCTAAATACACGCCATGTGAAAGGTTTATGTAGACCACTGCTTTTTTCTCTGTTGCTACACTAGTACTATAGCTTACTGGCATAGATTGCCAGGTGGTTTTATTTCATCCTTCACTCCTCATCAAACTACCTGCAATAGGATAATGATTACAGCCAGTGCAGTGCTGTCATTACTCTCTGCTGAAAAAAATACTGGCCTATGCAATACGATATGGAGAACATTAACAGAAAAAAAATATAATGAAAAAATGAAAAAAAAAAAATACCTAAAGGACAATCATACTTAAATATCTCATTTTGGATCTTTTTGCTTCAAAATCAATAGATGTTGACTTAAGCATCCTATACTTAGGTTACTGGAAATAATTATGTTGAGATATTTAGACTACTATAGCTCATGATCAACTGATTCTTTTCTTTAAGATATAAGTCCAAAGAAAAAGAAATGTATACATTACATTGGTCACTAGTTGGTTTGGCTATTTAGGATATGGTAAACGTTTTCCTTCAAATGATAAAATAAAAATTAGGCACACAGTTGTTTTTAGAGTCGGGGGACAATCTTAGAGGAATATGAACCAAGGAAAAACATTTGAGGCCTATGATGAAATGTATTATTGATTTGTAGCTTGAACACTGACTGTTATGTCTAAATACATCCCAGATTCCATAAAATATATCTTAGGTAGTTGCCATGGATGATTTTAACCAAATTTAAATTTTGGGCTAAGTCATTGATATAATTAGCTAGAAAAAAAAATTGTAAGTATTCCCTTTACCAAGTTTGAATATGTTGAAGCATTTGGCTATAATGGGTTAAATATAGTCTGCTAGAGTGAAGCCAGACATTTGTATTGACTGTGCAGTGGGTTTAGTCAGATAATGCTGTCTTAGCTCTGGTAATAGTTCAGTATTTCCTCCAAAGCTGCTTGAACATGATTATTTTTGGAACTGGATAACTTCAAGTCATGACCATCTCCACAGGTCCAGAGTGGAAACTAGATAACATCTGGAAAAAGATTTTTTTTTTCAGTTTCATAGTATGTTCAAGCGATCAACTTTGTCGTATTGCAGTCAAATTCTCTGACTAATCATGACATTGTAAATCAAATATTTTTATTTCTAAACTAACACAGACAACATTACAATGTAATAGTTAACAGCCACTCTTTTTGAAGTATCACTGGAAACAAATGGCATTGTTAACTTATATCCTGGTAAAGTGGCAACATGGGTAATGTATAGAATGCCTGTCACGCAGCTCTTGGAAATTGACAGTCATTTAAGTTTCACTTTTGTCCATCAAGTGAGCAGTCTCAGCATGCAGGCTATTGATCACGTTACTGTTACTTCTCAGGTTCTGAGTAGACTGCCTCATTATCACTTGACAGGATAGAAAGCTATTGTCTTTATTTGATAGCACATTTTATTGATCTGTTTTAAAAAAATTGCACATGCTGTTATATTAAAGCAGTTATTTTATACTAAAGGCTATCAGCTTTCCATGTGAACCGTAGTCTTGTCATACTCAGTTATCACCCTGTTTTTCTGAGTTTAACTTCTTAAATGAATACAGTTTGGTTCAACATATTAGATGTGGGTATTGAAATTTAATTTTTGCAATACATTACCTTGACAGATAAAAAAGAAATAAACTTAAGACTAATTTTCTTGATAGTAAACTATGCATACAGTCCCTTTGATGTAATTGTTTGAATTGTTGTAGTTCTCTGTAGATTAAAAAAAAACTTATTCTTAATGGTGTTAGTGTATTTATCTTTCTAGGTAGTTCACCCAAAATCAGATGAGCAAAGAAAACGTCTCAGTGAAGCGGTGAAGAATATTCTTATCTTCAGGTCCTTAGATATTGTAAGTTAAAGATTTGGGGAAAATATCATATTTTGACATGCTTTATTTGACTATTTTCAGTGCATATCATGCAAACATTGTTCAATAACATTTGACCTATTATTTGACCTATTATGTTGTAAATTACAATAAAAGAAATTATGTACATCCATGCAATTTAATTGATTAATTTGACATTTTGGTTCTTAAATTGAACTGTTCCTCTCAGTTTGTTTGTATTTACCAGTTGAATCACTCTGGATCCTCAGTTCCTCTCAGCTCAACCAGATAACTGTCATATAGCTTTTCACTGTTGTTAATTCCAGGAACAGATGCAAGAAGTTATTGATGCAATGTTTGAGAAGAAGGTAGGTCTACTTGATGATGTTCTGATATAGGCTGGCAGGAAGGGAGGGGGATATTGTTTTTATATTGTCTGTATTATGTTTGTGTGTAAATGTAGAGGAATGTTGTAAAGCCATACAGCCCCACATGAGTCCTGGCTGTATTATGTTTGTGTGTACATGTAGAGGAGTGTTGTAAAGCCATACAGTCCCACATGAGTCCAGGCTGTATTATGTTTGTGTGTAAATGTAGAGGAGTGTTGTAAAGCCATACAGCCCCACATGAGTCCAGGCTGAGGCAGAAACGGTGTGAGGAGGTCATTCACTGAGGTAGTGCTAGCAATTTTTTTTTTCTTAGCCAATGGCAGCTATGCTACAATAGAAAATATAGATGAATTTCATTTATCTTATCCATGGAAGCAGGAATAGGCCTACATATAAGCCAAACACACATAATCTATTGTTATCCTAGTAAACTGTCAATGTGAATCTAGGGTAGCACTAACACTCACCAATTTAGCCAAATGCTAAAACTGACTTATACTGGCTAAACAAAAAGGGCTTGATTTGACTTGTTTTAGTCAAATTATAACCATCTGGATAACAAATTGAAAAAAAAGTGGCGATTAGGCTAAACTAATTGAAATTTTCTATATTCTGTGAGTGGTTTGCAATGTATTGACAAACAGTTATCCCTTTAACAAACAAATAGTTTGAACCCAAATTTGTCAATAACAGGACATTTGAAAAAAATCAATTAACTGTACTGCTCCAAGAATGGTTCCAATATAGAAGGATTACAATGGGAGAGAGAACTAGTGACTCATATATGAAGCTACTCAGTCTTGTTTTGTTTTCTAGCTTTAACATGTGTTTCACAGAAAGACAACTTAATACTAAAGGCTGATTACAGGGACAGTTATTTAGCTCTGCCCAAGACAGAAGCAGGTGTTTTGATGCTATGACATAAAGCTAGTAAAATCATTTGCCAGACAGAGCCAAAGCTATACTAGCTATTGACAAATTTGGGTTCAAACTATTTGTTTGTTAAAGGGATAACTGTTTGTCAATACATTGCAAACCACTCACAGAATATAGAAAATTTCAATTTGCCTCCAAAACTATAGCAATTATTCTGGAATCTGTGCTTGCCATCAAACCATATGGACCTTCATAGATGGCTACACTTCCATAATTATCTTTCAAGAGATTATTACAAAAAAAAAAAATAAATTAACATAGGCTAACTTTGAATGTTGGAATGGAGGCATTTACCATTGTTGATTATAAGAAAGTCATTGTTTCCCTAGGAAAATCCGTTTTTTGCCAAAACGAATATTTGTTATCCCTTCAAGTTGATTGAACTTAAATAGGAATAATTATTATGAAAGCTTTTTTTAGATGATTGCATAACTTCATGTAGATCCTGTTGTTCTCTGCATGAAGTAATGTAAAACATTGGCCCTTGCGTAGTAGATAATATATTTTTATAGTAGATAATATATAGTAGATGATATATATAGTAGATAATATATAGTAGGTAATATATATAGTAGATAATGTATAGTAGATAATATATATATATATATTGTAGATAATATAGAGTAGCTGATATCTGGCCTGATGCTATCAGCACCCGATGGTCCTGTCCACTAAGGTCAAGGTGCCTTGGGAGAGAACAGTGAGCTGGAGATTGCCTGGATAATGAATATGTATGAGAAAAAAAGTAATAGAAGAAAGGGCAAGCCACTGATCAGAACTGATTAACATCTAAATGCAGTAATCTAAATAATCTGTGGCACCTCTCAGTTTGGATCAGTGGTAGAGAAAAGAAGAGAAACCAGGACTATATTGGATTACGTGTACAATCCAGTATTTAGGACTGGTGTCAGTTTTGTCATGGTCAGAATTGCTACTGAGTTATCCATGGTTGTATTGATGGGTTAGGATAGTTTCTCATGTGGTTAGCAGAGAAAATAATAAAGGAAAAAAGGAGCTCATATCTCTACATAAGCAGTAGTTTCAACTGTGCATTGACATTGAAGCTAATACAGTCAAGAGTTTGTGTAAGAGCAGCATATCATTTACAGTGTGAACACAACCAGTGCAATTCATAAACATTTTATGGGAAGAATGCAAAGTGATTATGACAGATTATTAATAAATAGTCAGATGTTCCCTATAATTATTATAATAGTACATTTTGTCTGCTCATATAATCAATGCACATTACCAGTTGTCTTGTCTGCCGCGTGACCATCTTTATGTATATATAGTTCAAGGATTGCAGTGTATGCACAGACATATTTCTTCCTTATGTTTAGTTTATTCTTTGATGACCATTTCTATTACACATGGATGTATTCATGCATGCAAGTGCCCACATTTACTCTCCTCTCTCTACTTCACAGAGATGCAGTTTCAATGTATGTGTGACTCAATGTAGCATTTTGTGGCCTTTAGGTCTATTGAACCTATGAAATTGGGAGCCATTACAAGCAATCAGCAAATGCATTTTGCTGCTGTTCATCCTCACTTCAAAGACCATTAATTGTTTTCCAGATGGTCTCGCTTGAAAGGCCAGTGGTAATTATTTACCAGATGGAATCTACTTAACCCACTGTTTTAATATATTTATGAATTGAGCAGCGTGATAAAATGTGTATCTGCTGGTTCTGAAATGGTGGACATGAACTGTAGATGGCACCACAATGCAACTCTGAAACCAGAATGAATCCCTTTTTGGGATATCCCAGACACTGGAATCAAGGAATATCTATCCTTGCTGGGATAACTTGGATACAAGAATCGGGAATGATATCCATCCTTACTGGGATGAACTGGGTCATTAGAGGTCATCTAGTATTGTTCTAGTATTGTACAGATATGAGGGGATGAACTGGGTCATTAGAGGTCATCGAGTATTGTTCTAGTATTGTACAGATATGAGGGGATGAACTGGGTCATTAGAGGTCATCTAGTATTGTACAGATATGAGGGGATGAACTGATGAGTTACATTGATATGCATTCAGCAGTTTTATCCCTAGGGAAATCATTAGGAAAGCCTAATTTCTTATTACATTGATCACAGTAATTTTTATGATGAGCAAAATTAACTAAGTCTGTATAAATATATTAAAATATATCACCACTGAGGCCTACGTACTTGGGTGTTTCAGGAGGAAAATCTATGTTTCCTGGTTACTGCATTGTTATGTTCATGATACCTGTAATTTGTGTTAATTTTTCCATTTAAAATTCTAGAGAGTTATGTTTTTTTTATACCCTATACCAATCTGAACAATATAAAATGAGCTTTTCTCCTATTTCTATGTGAAATTTTGAAGTCATAAGCACATAGTCATTTTTGATTGGAAGTAAATTGATTCAATGATTAGGCTATACTTTGAGTGAAGATGGCAAACAAATATTTCCTTTAATAACATTTTGTAATTCTCCATATTCACTCCTGGAGCAAACTTCTTTAGCATTTAGTAATTTCATAGCTGGACTTGAATGTCATTGCTTCTTGAGTTGCACAGAAAACTGTTTTTTTTTATGGTGTGGAGTCTCTCCAGGTTTTATCCAATAAATCCCCTACTGCACTAGCACTAGTCTAAAGGTGGTCACTAACCCCCAGGGAGACAAGACCAGTGATTTGCCTCTCACTTGCATTTCATTCCAATTAATCTTTGCCAGCACTCTGGACCCTGAAGTTCTGCAGGGGTTTACTGGTTGGGCTAAGCAGCCAGCCACTGGGAAATTGCTACTATTGATCAGGTGCTTGTTATGGGCTCAGATGGTAAATGGCTAAGTTGGAGTAGAATTCAAGGAAAAGGGATTGTTCCCTTTGAGGCCTGTGTGACTGCATTCACTGTAAAGGGTAACATTTCGTAAAATTGAAAAAAAAAAAATGTAACAGTAATTTGTACGCATGTATTCACATTTCTGTCTGTAGTGGTTTTGTGAGATGGGTATATATAATACAGTATATATGTGAGATGGGCATATATAATACAGTATATATGTGAGATGGGTATATATGATAAAGGATTTCTACAAAAGTTTATACGATAAAATTTTTCAAAATAGATGTGATTTTGTTGTAAATTAAATTCTTGTCTTGTCAATTCCAGACACAGCCCAATGAACATGTGATAGACCAGGGAGATGATGGAGACAATTTTTATGTTATAGACAGGTAAGAAGATTTCTATGTTATAGATAGGTAAGAAGATTTCTATGTTATAGCCAGGTAAGCAGAAGATTTCTATGTTGTAGACAGGTAAGAAGATTTCTATGTTATAGACAGGTAAAAAGATTTGTATGTTATAGACAGGTAAGCAGAAGATTTCTATGTTATAGACAGGTAAGCAAAAGATTTCTATGTTATAGACAGGTAAGAAGATTTCTATGTTATAGACATATAGAAGGTAATAAGACTGATAGAAACACATTAGTATGTCTTAAATATCATTGAATGTAGTTTTAAAGACCAGTAAACATTCTCTGATATGAAGTTTTTATTTCCACAAAATGCTGGCTTCACTCTTTAAGTGATATGAAATCTGTACAGGATGTTAAAAGTCAAAAACACTGAAAAAATTCAAGATAGATCCAGCGAAATAAGTCGGCACCACTATAAAGGATTGAGAGGCAGAAGTTTTTTTTTTTTTTTGCAAATGTTCACGAGTAAAAGGTTCTGCCATTTGCTCGAGAAATTTTGCTTTTGCGATGGAGAGTGAAGAAGAACAATGTTGTTTTAATTTTAATTTTTTTCATTTATTTATTTATTTGTCCACTCATTGGTTTGATGACAATTTGATTATTTAGTAAAACGAAACTAAGGTCTTGGTAAAAATAATCTTATTGGTCAAATCAAAAGGCAATTGTGCACTGAGGTTATTTTGTTTATACATTCATTGCTGGTTCACTTCATGCAGTGTTCTCTTGATATATATACATATAATTTGTATAGTAATGCTCTAATGGGAAGTTTGTGTTCTGTTTTAGTGGTACCTATGACATCTATGTTGATGACAACCTTGTTGGTGCTTATGAAAACCAAGGCAGCTTTGGAGAACTTGCCCTGATGTACAACATGCCCAGGGCAGCCACTATCATTGCCACCTCTGCAGGGAGCATCTGGGCCATGGTAAGACACTAGGGCTTCGTTCACATGCAATATCTATTTTCTAAAAATCTATTTTCTATTCACGGTATATCTTGTGATCACGGTCTGTGCCCTGAACATCCCGTGGCGTAATTACTGGCAGCGCGAGCCAGTTACTTCCAAAGCTGTAATTAATTCTCGGCGCTGCCAGTAATTACGCTGCGGGGTATTCAGGGCACAGACCATGATTACAAGATACCGCAAATAGAAAATAGATTTTTAGAAATTAGACATTGCATGTGAACGAAGCCTAGGACTGGCTTCTCATACCTAGATTGATCTAACAGGATGAATCCATCTCCCAGGGTTTTTTCGTTAAATTGCATTCAGTTTAAGTGGCTTAGATGTCTGGCATGCCTACTGAAGCTGCTTAACAATAATAAATTACCCCATAGCAGCTTCAGCATGCATGACAGGCAATTTAGTGAGAATTCCCTTAGAAATAGATCGATCCACAGTTAGTAGGATAGGATCTGGGAATGGTCCCTATGTCTTAGATGTAGGCATTGTTTTAACTTGATACAGTGGGGTAGGATAACAAATACATATTTTGTTACAGCAGATTCATCATGGCTCAAATACTACATGGTCACCAAGCCAACAGATATCTTTATTATCAGCAGGGATTTCTTGGAGTGTGGGGATGGATTAATTCACAAAACAGTGTTTTTATCTAACTGCTTCAAATTTTGACATCACCACTATTTGTGTCATTTCATGACATTGTGACCAAATAAAGTGATGTTATACTTGTGTTTTCACTTCCTACCATGTGTCTGACCTGGGTCTAAAGACCAGCTGGCATTTTCTCCCATGTCAATATCTATTCAGCCCTGTATTCATTATTTTTTATCTGGAACTGCATTACATTTAATGGCTTTCTGATGAACCTATACTGAACATTATAGCAGCAGATAATCCCTAGTTAAGTGGTATCATTGTAAGATAGAGAGGACACAGAATGGCTATTGTTGTAGCAGACCTCCCAGAGGGTCTAGCTACCTAGGGTGAATGACGTCAAGGTTGCCCTCAGACCTATGAAATAGGCTGCTAGCACAGAAATCTTGACCTGGTCAACTGGTACTGTTCCAAGAGATCTTTATGGATGTCATATCATCTCAGATGTGTAGAATGAGGTACAGATAAGGGAAGAAAGGGGAGGGGGAGAGAGAGAGAGACTTGATTTTTCCCCTGTATAACTCAGATAGTAATAACCATTATTTTGCTATATACTCCAGTGGTTTTCTGTTAGCCTCACTGCACAAAGACATGGTAGTCTGTGGGGAGACATCAGTCTGTGCTACATTATGTATTCAGAGTCCCAGCTTTTAGTGGCAATCAGCTGAATACTTTATAACAGTGCCATGTGTTTGGTGCCTGGTGTATAAGACAGTATACACAGGTGCCAGCATAGCCTCTATGCCATCCATTGCCTGGTGCATAAGGTTATCAAAAGCTGATTTAGTTTTGAGAAATATTACTCCTGAAGATGGTGTAAATTCTATTTTCCATTTTATCCCTCCCTCTTTCCTTTCCTCCAGGCCAGTGTTTTGTGATAGAGGTACACCTCCTTACAATTTACTGTTGGGCTCTGCCTAAAGATATTTTCTTTAGCTTCAACATTTTTCTGTTGATAATCCTGAAATAAATGTTTTACTTCCTTGCAAAAAGGTAAAGGTGGAGCCGAGCACAGCATGGGGGTTGTACATGTTCTTATAGAAATGTAGTGATTTAATTTTTTTTTTATTTTTATCTAGGACCGTCATACATTCAGAAGAATAGTACTCAAAAATGCCTTTAACAAGAGGAAAATGTATGAAAACTTGTTAGAAACTGTGCCTATGCTCAAGACACTAGAGGTAAGGAAGAATCAAGATTTGTTCAATGGCAGAAATGCATAAAAACTCATGTTTTTGCTTACATTGGTGTGTAACATATATGTGCATGAGTATGGATTCTTGCACACATGCGTGCACATATGGACATACACATGATCTCACACACATGGCAAAATGATTTATGTGAGCGTGTGCACGCACACACACACACACACACACACACACACACACACACACACACACACAGAGTCTTAGAAAGGAGAGCTGGCAGCCATTGCTGCTTATGTGTCTGAATCCTAAGTCCATTAACATTTAGCCTGTCATTAAAAGAAATAATGTAATAGATAGGGAAATACCTGTTGTTAAATATGATACCATGTGCTTCTGTAGTTACAGAAACATGCTATCTGCAGGTATACTCACCAACATTTATTATGACCAAGTACAGGGGAAAACTCGACTGGAATGTATTTTTGGAGGGTCCTANCAATTTTACTGAATGTCTAAATTGGACTTCTGTTGTTTATTTTGAGAAAGACGTAACTATGCTGTCAATTTATAAGCGCTCTACCAGATGCTAGTTTTGACATACATACATATTGGAAAAATTATTCCCAAGTCAGATAACTCAAGATTACATTACATTGCGTGCATGAATATATCAGACAAGTATTTTATAAAGCTAATTAACTGTTGATAGTATTTAGCTGAATCATCTTTGTATTGATTTTCTCCTTCAGCCTTATGAGAGAATGAATGTAGCTGATGCCTTGATCTCAAAGACATATGAAGATGGAACACAAATTATCAAGCAGGTAATACAGCCACTGCATAAACCTGACACCAGTAGATGTAGTACACATACAGACTTTAACTGATCTTCATTCATATACAAACTTAAACAGATGGGTAACCTTCCATGGGTTTAACTATACAAAGCCCTGTATGGCTATTATAGATACAGATGTTTAAAATATTCTTTGTCATATGAAAAGAACCCATGACTGTCTTCCTGTCAATATTGTTAATTATGACAACTTGAAGTAGGCAGAGCTGTGAGGCAGGTGTTCCCATACTGTTTGTGCAGGTCACAGCGGGTGGTAGTGCAGGTACAACTTTAGTCTCATTTCTTCATCCACCTCTCAATGGCCATTTCATTAATATTTTCACTTTATTACTTCTTGTCATGGAGGAGGATTTCTTCTTGTCATAGAGGAGGTTGGGCAGCCAGTCTCCCTACACATTGTCTCCCACAGCCCCCCCCCCCCCA